GGGGTCAAGTTTTGTGTTTGAATTTTGAATATCCTAATCATTGTGGGAAATTTTTCACAACAATAAAATGCATAAAATTTAATTGTTTATCAAGGATATTCAAGATGGAGGTGTAATAGGATAAGATAAGGGGAAAAAACTCGAAAAGAAAAGGAAACTTGGTTTCAAATTAGTCAGGATGTGCTTACTTTTTTCATGATCCTCTGTCATTCCAATATTCATTTTCTTACTTGCAAGGTCTATTCACAGATGCGCTCAAAGTTTTTCAATTAAGATAAGAGCTGTTTTTGAATTTTGTTGATCAATCTCTGAAATTTAAATGAGCTTTTCTTTCATTGAGATAAGGAACAGTCCGGATATGAAAAGATTATATAAATTCTGTAGTTCTCATAGATTGAAGCAAAATCACACGTAATCTGGAAGGCTAGTTGCTGTATAAATTTTGATGCATGATACATTGGTGGATCTACAACAGTTGGTTTTTGGTGGGGGCAAAATGGCAACTTTTCCAGGAACTACATGTTGCAGTTACATTTGCATGCATTGTCAAGTTCCTTCTCTATACTCCTAAATGCTCTTGTATCCCCCCCCCCCCCAAAAAGTTACAAGTTGAGTCATAATTATAACCATGTAATTGTTCAAAATAATTCAACTTTATGCAACAAATGAATGATTTAAAGTATTGCCATATGCTTTACAGTGATTTTTATTTGCCATCTTCAGCTCTACTATTACCCAACACATAAACTCTATATCTGTGTCCATCTTTTAACATTTGCCATTCGGGTCCTCCCTACTTCTAGTACATTCACCTCTGTATGCTGTATTTCAATAGTGTTTGTGGCTTCCAGGAGTAAGAGTTCTGTCTTGACAAAAGGTTAAGAGGGTTAAGAAGTGCTGTGTGTGGAGGCCTGAGATTTCCTGGCGATTAGCATCCATGACTGGACAAATTAGAGCTATTCAGGCATGAGTGGAAGAGGTGACATCTACTGAACTGACCAATGGTCACTCAAAAGCACTCAGCTTGGTGGAGATTATCCAGATTCCCCCTTTCCCTATCCCCCCACCCCTCTCCAGGGTGACCGTTTTAGCCGATTTTCGGCTAATCTTGACAGAATTTTTGTTAAAAAACGAGTTTGACAGAAAATTTGACAGAATAGATTTTTTTGGCAGATTTATGGCAGAATTCTGCAAAAATTGGTTATTTGACAGAAAAACAGCAAATTTGAACAAAAAAGTGTACATTTGTTTAAAAAAGCTTCAATCATTTCAAACAAACCCTTGCATAATGGGACAGGTTGGCTGGTCTAGGTGCCGGCTGATATGAGGTTCACTGGGAAACGGACTTCGTCGTGCCCGAAATTTACCAATAATTTCACAACATCTTCATGTGACTAGATTTTTTATTATGTAATTTGAATTTTAATTAAGGCAATACTATACCAATCTGCATGTGATTTTAAGTGTTTATAGTGTATTTCGAGTAATTCTGGGGAATTTGGAAGATTTTTGATAAACCTGACAGATTTTTGATGTGCATTTAGCAGAATTTGGCTCTGACCTTACGGTCACCCTGCCCCTCTCTCTTCCTGGCAGAGGGCTGGTCATTGGGTGCATAATGTACACAATGCCGGGTGGTCTAAATTCTTGCCTCAAATGTTTTTGAGTTTGAGGAGCCTAGTACTAGCTTGGTAGGTCAACATTGGAAAGTTTGAGTAAAGCAAACAAGAAAATTTGTGTCTGTTTAACTTCAGATTTGAAATGCAGGCGTGGAAAAGATATAGGCCCTACAACATACATGTAGTTGAGAACTACCATTAAACAATCTTGATGAATTAGCCATAACATTGCACTATCTCTCAATATTGAAGAAAAGGAATGTTGCTAGTCACTCCTAAAAGCATTTCTGTCTTTAACAAGGTCAATTTGTCAATGTGTTTTTTCCAAGGTTTAGAGAATTTCCTAAACACCAAGTTTTCTTTTTCCTTTGTGAACAAAACTTTCATTCCAACGTTACTTTTTTTGTCCAAACTGTATTTACACGCTGAAAATCTGAATCTGAAAATCCAGGAAGAATTGTATATTAAAGGGAATATACATCATTTGCTTTTGCTGTAATTTTCAGAAATGGATGGAATTGGGGGGTTGGAAATATATAGCAAATATAGTTACACTGACTTTTTTGAGGTTTTGGGTTCGAAAATGCTATAAAAACCAAGAAAAACAATCATTTTCCTGTAGTCGGGTTCCCTGACTCCATTTAAGAAGAAACAGAGCAGTTTACATACATTGGGGAATTGTAAGGTCAGGGAACCAGTCTAGCTGGCTTGTACCCGTTCATAGGTGTGTAATCGAGATTGCAAACAAGTGCGATGGTCAACTGGGGCCAGTATTTGAAAAAAACCCAGTTTTTTCCAACGCTGGTCGGCCGATCAGCGTTGGAAATTGATACAAAAATACCACTTTTCTTGAAAATGACAGTATACCAGGTGCCATGATTTTACAGGATGCTTTACACTGCCATTCACTAACAGTCCAGCAAGGTATTTCAAAATGATTTGGTAGTTTTATTTTTTGATGTTTGCAAATGTTGTATTTTCCCTTTAAAACCACTCAAAAAGTTTGATTTCTCTTGGAAATCATTAATCAAAAACCTTGATTTTCATTGAAGATAGAGCAGGATTTTTTAACTAATAATAATAATAATAATAATAATTGTAGTGCTTATATAGCGCTTTCCATCATATCAACAATCTCAAAGTGCTTTACAATTATTTCCCTGTTCATCAGGCAGTGAGACCACGCAGCAGCCAATATCAGCGCACATTGGGTCCTCTACCCTCACAGGTACCCATTCATTCTCCTGGGTGGAGAGAGGCAATTGAAGTTAAGTGTCTTGCCCAAGGGCACAAACACCATGTTCCTGGCAGGGTTCGAACCCACGTACCATCGTACATGAGTCAAAACACCGTAACCACTGGACCATGGCGTTCTACTATGCAATCATGTTTTTTTCTGTAATATTTTTTTCTTTACATGGGTTATGTGTTTCTATTGAATTGGTACCCTACACAAAACTTTTAAGAATACTTGACTTTTTTTCCGTCTTCTTGAGAGGAATAAAACAATTTCCTGTCATTTCATCAAGAGGTTCAACTCCATTAGTAGTCTGGTGCTCTCAGGTTGCCTGGCACGCAGACATCCGTTAGCCTAGACACTTAACCTCCTCAGAGCTGTTTATTGTGATTGGCGCCCAGACCATAATATTGCCTGTCCAATGACCCATTGTGATCCTCTGTCACTCTCTGTTTGGATTTCATCAAGGAAAATTTGACAAAACATGCTTTTGTCTACTCCCGTGAGGCTGATGGATAGATAAGGAATAGATCAGAATGTTTTTGATAGTAAGAAACTTTGAATTACTTGTACTAAGAAGTGGTTTTGTCCACAGCTCTCTAGGGAGTTATAAAACAATAAAGAAGAGGAGTAGGGTCTGATATGTGTGGCCAGACAAATACTGAAATTGATTTGTAAATTGACCTTTGCCTTGGACAAATAGTGTAATGGTCAGTCAGGCCCAAACTTTGACCTGAAGAATATTGTTCTGAATATTTGTTTGAACCACGGAGCAGGGAACAAATGGATAACCTATGTGAAGAATGTTCAAAGAAAGAGACTGCATGCATTCCATTTAGAAATTAGCAGGAACGGTAGAAAATCTTTTTAGTTTGTTTGAAATTGAGAATTTCTAAGAAAATGTAAACAGTATTTTTGTTTTAACTTTTCGAAAATTGTATCTTAAGTTTTTTCCCATACTTTGCTGAAAAAATTTCAATTAAACTAAAGAATTTCTCTTTGTTAATGAGTTGTTGAACAAATCTGTATTTGAACAAGAAGAGTAATGGTTAGTCCCGGGTCAAACTTTGACCCAAAGGATATTGATCTGAATATTTTGATTGAATCATGGAGCGAAGAATAAACACATAATCTACCGGTATATGAGGAATGCACAAAGAAAGAAACTGGTACTTAATTACTGTGAAATATATTGGGGGAGGTGTACGGCTTGTTTTTATTTTTCTTCTACAAAACTATATTTAGAGTTCATATAACTCAGCTGGAAAAAAGGCATTCAAATAATTTGCCCCCTTAAAGGGAAAATACAACATTTGCAAACATCAACAAATAAAACTACCAAATCATTTTGAAATACCTTGCTGGACTGTTAGTTAATGACACTGTAAAGCATCCTGTAAAATCATGGCACCTGGTATACTGTCATTTTCAAGAAAAGTGGTATTTTTGTATCAATTTCCAACGCTGGTCAGCGTTTTTTTCCAAATACTGGCCCCAATTGACCATCGCACTTGTTTGCAATCGATTACACACCTATGAACGGTTACAAGCCAGCTAGACTGGTTCCCTGACCTTACAATTCCCCAATGTATGTAAACTGCTCTGTTTCTTCTTATATGGAGTCAGGGAACCAGACTACAGGAAAATGATTGTTTTTCTTGGTTTTTATAGCATTTTCGAACCCAAAACCTCAAAAGGGTCAGTGTAACTATATTTGCTATATATTTCCAACCCCCCAATTCCATCCAGTTCTGAAATATGTACTTGACAAGGTTTTTGTCACTTGGTCAAAATGGAAGTTCTGCTTCGTCACAGAAATGTATATGTTGTCCACAGCGCACGCGCGTATATAAAATTTATACAATTTAAAACGCAAATTTGTCACTTGGTTAAAACGCAAATCTTGGATGCTACATCAATAAAACCAATGAGACTTTTAAGTGATGAATAGAGTTTTTGTCACTTTTCAAACGAAAAACTGAGTGTGTCACACTTTTTTTACTTTGGGTAATTAGTGAACGATAGAATTGTGTGTCTCGGGACACATTCATTGCCAATTATTTGAAAATTTCATTGATGTAAAGTTTAATGTAAATAATATGGCATGATATGACTATCTGTTATTTTGTTTTATTCCGTTTTAGGCTAGCAAGACAGAGACTCAACAACCCAACATGGACGAAGCAACAAGGCAGATGGCAATGTTATGATTGACACGGATCCATGGAAGATGATGACAGTGCTTGGCAGTGCATGGTGTGTCGAAAGTCGTGTTCACGTTGGACTTTATTTTGGTAAAACCTGGCGTGCTTTCCCACAACCACATCCAGTGTTACATTGAAAAGTCAATGGCAGGGCACCCTCAAAACATTTTGAAAGAGCACGTTCAGTACTGGTAAGTTTACACAACCAAAGACGGAAAGAACGTAGTATCCAGACGCCACTTCTTTGGTTGCGTACAAAGTCTATGGAGAGTTGCATGTATTTTTAAAAGTATTTTCTAACAAATTTTTAATGTTTCTCAGTCCCAGATTCATGTCTTTTCCAAATTTTTGTGACGACTGACCTTCATTGAGATAATATATTGTGAAAAAAAGTGGCGTCAGGTTGCAACATTCTTTCCCCAGTGACTTTCCACGAGGCAAAATTAATCCAAGAATAACCACAATGGGATGTCAACAATCACTGATAGTAACTATTTCATAAAATGAAGTCCAATGTGAGCAGTGCTTTTACTTTGGATTTCTTGGGCATGTATTACCAGTAGGTATGACTCAGGTTGAACCAAACAAAATTTGACTAAGACGTGAGAACTTTATGTATTAATTTCCCATTAACTTGACAGTAGAGTCACTCCTAACTGTTTCAAGTGAAAGTTTTCCCCCCAGTTTTAGGAATAGTTTGGTTCATTGTGACTTTGGAACGTCAGTCTGAACAAATGTAAACAGATTTTATGCCTCTTTTGAAATGATAGGCCGATTTCTATTTGTTCTAAAACTGAAGCTAAGACAAATTGCAAACATCTCTGGGCAAAATTTGGATAGAACTCAGTGCAAGGGGTAAGCCTAATATATTACGAGGTTTCAGCTACGGTTTTCTGCAAAATTGTTGAACTTGTTATTATGATTAGGGTTAGCCTTTTACTTTTAAAAATGTAGGCTAATTATTTATTGTGAATCTAAAAAAAATTTGTTTAAGGGGGGGGGGGGACAAATCAGCTTGTAATACATTAACCTTACAATGCTGGTTTTTTTAATATTTTTTTTTTCTTTGTGACAAACTTGCAAGTGTTTAACCTTGCCAATTTCAATAAACTTGAAAGAAAATGAAAGGTAAACAATTCCAAAATTGGACACTTATAAGACATTAGCCTTATTCAGAAATTGTAGGGTAAATTTCAACTATTTGATGAATATTAAAAGGTTGTACAAATAAGGTTGGCTTACATTCATGTTATGAGCGCAATTTGTTATCTGTTGTATTTCATTAATATTTCTTGTAGGGACTATGAAGATTTCCTAAGGAATACATCAACAAACAACACCATGTATGTGCTTCTCTTTTTCATGTATTCATTATTTATTTTCTCTACAATGCAAAAATAAATAATTTTAATGAAATCAACATTTCAAAATTCTCTGCTTGCATAGTATTCAACATTTGCTTAAGGATAAACTAATCGAACATATTAACCCAATATTCATGAAATATTTGTGTACTGTGACTTGTATAAATTGGTTAGGTAGTGCTTACTGTAAGCTTTGTTTAGCACAAATGTATATGTATTACAAGGGGCTAACATTATTGTTTAAATTATGACAGAAAAGTTGTCACTCCATAATGTGGGACATACTTCATCTAAATTGCAATCTTTGGAGAAAATTATTTCTTTGGCCAAATTTTGGACAACAATTTCAAGGGGTTAGCCTTACATTTTTGACGAAATTTTGCCAAACTATGAATTTCTTTTTAATGATATATATGTACCTAAATCGAGTTGGAATGTTTTCAAGGGGCCCTTTAGAGTCTTTGCAGGAAGTTTGGAGCAATTTCATTATTTGGCCAAATTTTGGACAAAAAATGCAAGGGGTAAGCCTTGCATTTTTGACGAAATTTTGCCAAAATATGAATTTCTTTTTAATGATATATATGTCCCTAAATTGAGATGGAATGTTTTCCAGGGGCCCTTTGGAGCAATTTAAGTTTTTGGCCAAAATTGACAAAAAATGCAAGGGGTTAGCCTTACATTTTTAATGAAATTTGGCCAAAATATGAATTTCTTTTAATTGATATATCTGTCCCTCAATCGAGTTGGAATGTATTCGAGGGTCGCTGAGGAGTCTTTCCAGAAAATTTGGAGCATTTTTATTTTTTGGCCAAAATTGACAAAATTGCAAGGGGTTAGCCTTACATTTTTAATCCAATTTGGCCAAAATATGAATTTCTTTTAATTGATATATCTGTCCCTAAATCGAGTTAGAATGTGGTCGAGGGGCCTTTAGGAGTCTTTCCAAGAAGTTAGGAGCAATTTAATTTTTTGGCCAAAATTGACAAAAAATGCAAGGGGTTAGCCTTACATTTTTAATGAAATTTGGCCAAAATATGAATTTCTTTTTAATGATATCCCTAAGTCGAGTTGGAATGTGGTCGAGGGGCCCTTAGGAGTCTTTCCAAGAAGTTTGGAGCAATTAAATTTTTTGGCCAAAATTGACAAAAATTGCAAGGGGTTAGCCTTACATTTTTAATGAAATTTGGCCAAAATATGAATTTCTTTTACTTGATATATCTGTCCCTAAATCGAGTTAGAATGTGGTCGAGGGGCCTTTAGGAGTCTTTCCAGGAAGTTTAGAGCAATTTAAGTTTTTGGCCAAAATTGACAAAAAATGCAAGGGGTTAGCCTTACATTTTTAATGAAATTTGGCCAAAATATGAATTTCTTTTTAATGATATCTCTAAGTCGAGTTGGAATGTGGTCGAGGGGCCCTTAGGAGTCTTTCCAAGAAGTTTGGAGCAATTTAATTTTTTGGCAAAAATTGCAAGGGGTTGTTAGCCTTACATTTTTAATGAAATTTGGCCAAAATATGAATTTCTTTGTATTGATATATCTGTCCCTAAATTGAGTTGGAATGTGTTCGAGGGGCCCTTAGGAGTCTTTCCAAGAACTTTCGAGCATTTTTATTTTTTGGCCAAAATTGACAAAAATTGCAAGGGGTTAGCCTTACATTTTTAATGAAATTTGGCCAAAATATGAATTTCTTGTAATTGATATCTGTCCCTAAATCGAGTTAGAATGTGGTCGAGGGGCCTTTAGGAGTCTTTCCAGGAAGTTTAGAGCAATTTAAGTTTTTGGCCAAAATTGACAAAAAATGCAAGGGGTTAGCCTTACATTTTTAATGAAATTTGGCCAAAATATGAATTTCTTTTAATTGATATATCTGTCCCTCAATCGAGTTGGAATGTATTCGAGGGGCCCTTAGGAGTCTTTCCAAGAAGTTTGGAGCATTTTTATTTTTTGGCCAAAATTGACAAAAATTGCAAGGGGTTAGCCTTACATTTTTAATGAATTTGGCCAAAATATGAATTTCTTTTACTTGATATGTCTGTCCCTAAATCAAGTTGGAATGTGGTCGAGGGGCCTTTAGGAGTCTTTCCAGGAAGTTTAGAGCAAATTTAATTTTTTGGCCAAAATTGACAAAAAATGCAAGGGGTTAGCCTTACATTTTTAATGAAATTTGGCCAAAATATGAATTTCTTTTAATTGATATATCTGTCCCTAAATCGAGTTGGAATGTGCTGAGGGGCCCTTAGGAGTCTTTCCAAGAAGTTTGGAGCATTTTTATTTTTTGGCCAAAATTGACAAAAATTGCAAGGGGTTAGCCTTACATTTTTAATGAAATTTGGCCAAAATATGAATTTCTTTTTAATGATATATATGTCCCCAAGTCGAGTTGGAATGTGGTCGAGGGGCCCTTAGAGTCTTTCAAAGAAGTTTGGAGCAATTTAATTTTTTGGCCAAAATTGACAAAAATTGCAAGGGGTTAGCCTTACATTTTTAATGAAATTTGGCCAAAATATGAATTTCTTTTACTTGATATATCTGTCCCTAAATCGAGTTAGAATGTGGTCGAGGGGCCTTTAGGAGTCTTTCCAGGAAGATTAGAGCAATTTAAGTTTTTGGCCAAAATTGACAAAAAAATGCAAGGGGTTAGCCTTACATTTTTAATGAAATTTGGCCAAAATATGAATTTCTTTTAATTGATACATCTGTTCCTAAATCGAGTTGGAATGTGTTCGAGGGGCCCTTAGGAGTCTTTCCAAGAAGTTTGGAGCATTTTTATTTTTTGGCCAAAATTGACAAAAATTGCAAGGGGTTAGCCTTACATTTTTAATAAAATTTGGCCAAAATATGAATTTCTTTTACTTGATATGTCTGTCCCTAAATCGAGTTGGAATGTGGTCGAGGGGCCTTTAGGAGTCTTTCCAGGAAGTTTAGAGCAATTTAATTTTTTGGCCAAAATTGACAAAAAATGCAAGGGGTTAGCCTTACATTTTTAATGAAATTTGGCCAAAATATGAATTTCTTTTAATTGATATATCTGTCCCTTAATCGAGTTGGAATGTGTTTGAGGGGCCCTTAGGAGTCTTTCCAAGAAGTCTGGAGCATTTTTATTTTTTGGCCAAAATTGACAAAAATTGCAAGGGGTTAGCCTTACATTTTTAATAAAATTTGGCCAAAATATGAATTTCTTTTTAATGAATATATGTCCCCAAGTCGAGTTGGAATGTGGTCGAGGGGCTCTTAGAGTCTTTCCAAGAAGTTTGGAGCAATTTAATTTTTTGGCCAAAATTGACAAAAATTGCAAGGGGTTAGCCTTACATTTTTAATGAAATTTGGCCAAAATATGAATTTCTTTTAATTGATATATCTGTCCCTAAATCGAGTTGGAATGTGTTCGAGGGGCCCTTAGGAGTCTTTCCAAGAAGTTTGGAGTATTTTTATTTTTTGGCCAAAATTGACAAAAATTGCAAGGGGTTAGCCTTACATTTTTAATGAAATTTGGCCAAAATATGAATTTCTTTTACTTGATATATCTGTCCCTAAATCGAGTTAGAATGTGGTCGAGGGGCCTTTAGGAGTCTTTCCAGGAAGTTTAGAGCAATTTAAGTTTTTGGCCAAAATTGACAAAAAATGCAAGGGGTTAGGGCCTTACATTTTTAATGAAATTTGGCCAAAATATGAATTTCTTTTAATTGATATATCTGTCCCTAAATCGAGTTGGAATGTGTTCGAGGGGCCCTTAGGAGTCTTTCCAAGAAGTTTGGAGCATTTTTATTTTTTGGCCAAAATTGACAAAAATTGCAAGGGGTTAGCCTTACATTTTTAATAAAATTTGGCCAAAATATGAATTTCTTTTTAATGAATATATGTCCCCAAGTCGAGTTGGAATGTGTTCGAGGGGCCCTTAGGAGTCTTTCCAAGAAGTTTGGAGCAATTTAATTTTTTGGCCAAAATTGACAAAAATTGCAAGGGGTTAGCCTTACATTTTTAATGAAATTTGGCCAAAATATGAATTTCTTTTAATTGATATATCTGTCCCTAAATCGAGTTGGAATGTGTTCGAGGGGCCCTTAGGAGTCTTTCCAAGAAGTTTGGAGTATTTTTATTTTTTGGCCAAAATTGACAAAAAATGCAAGGGGTTAAGGCCTTACATTTTTAATGAAATTTGGCCAAAATATGAATTTCTTTTACTTGATATGTCTGTCCCTAAATCGGGTTGGAATGTGGTCGAGGGGCCTTTAGGAGTCTTTCCAGGAAGTTTAGAGCAATTTAATTTTTTGGCCAAAATTGACAAAAAATGCAAGGGGTTAGCCTTACATTTTTAATGAAATTTGGCCAAAATATGAATTTCTTTTAATTGATATATCTGTCCCTAAATCGAGTTGGAATGTGTTCGAGGGGCCCTTAGGAGTCTTTCCAAGAAGTTTGGAGCATTTTTATTTTTTGGCCAAAATTGACAAAAATTGCAAGGGGTTAGCCTTACATTTTTAATAAAATTTAGCCAAAATATGAATTTCTTTTTAATGATATATATGTCCCCAAGTCGAGTTGGAATGTGGTCGAGGGGCCCTTAGAGTCTTTCCAAGAAGTTTGGAGCAATTTAATTTTTTGGCCAAAATTGACAAAAATTGCAAGGGGTTAGCCTTACATTTTTAATGAAATTTGGCCAAAATATGAATTTCTTTTACTTGATATATCTGTCCCTAAATCGAGTTAGAATGTGGTCGAGGGGCCTTTAGGAGTCTTTCCAGGAAGTTTAGAGCAATTTAAGTTTTTGGCCAAAATTGACAAAAAATGCAAGGGGTTAGCCTTACATTTTTAATGAAATTTGGCCAAAATATGAATTTCTTTTAATTGATATATCTGTCCCTAAATCGAGTTGGAAAGTGTTTGAGGGTCGCTTTTTATTTTTTGGCCAAACTTGACAAAATATGCAAGTGAATTTTCTCCAAACGTCATAGAAATTTGTTCGGAGGTAAGAGGAGCATCAACAAACATTCAAACACCCAATATTTTGAAGATTTTGGCAAAATTCATCACTTTGTTTATAGAAAAACAACAATTTTGAATTGATTTCACCCAAAATATTCATCGAAATTTTGTCTTAAAATGTTTAATTAAGGTTTTTCATTTCATTTTGAAAAAAAGGGATTTTGTATGAAAGAATTTGACATACTTCTAAATTTTACAGGCTTACGTTATCAAGGAATGAATCTTTCCAAATCGTGTGAGTCTGTGTCCCCGAATTAGATCATTGAAGCCTTGAAGGCACTCGTGAGTCTCTTCAATTTGTCCTCCATGTCTCACTTTGGAGTCTCCGTCTCGGACAGAAGACGCTTCATGTGAGTTCCTGAGTCAGATCACTGAAGGCACTCAAAGAGTCTCTTCAATTTGTCCTCCATGACTCGCTTTTGAGTCTCGCTCCCCGACGGAAGAAGACGCATCATGTGAGTCTCTGAGTCAGATTGTTGAAGGCACTCGTGAGTCTCCTCAATTTGTCCACCATGACTCGCTTTTGAGTCTCGGTCCCTGACCGGAGAAGACACATCATGTGGGTCTCTGAGTCAGATCACTGAAGGCACTCGTGAGTTTCTTCAATTTGTCCTCCATGACTCGCTTTTGAGTCTCCGTCTCGGACAGGAGAAGACTCATCATGTGAGTCCCTGAGTCAGATCACTGAAGGCACTCGTGAGTCTCTTCAATTTGTCCTCCATGACTCGCTTTTGAGTCTCCGTCTCGGACAGGAGAAGACGCATCTCATTCTCAACCTCAATTACCTGCAAACGAAGGACCAATTTGAAATCACGATTAATAACCAATATAATGTATTTTACAAGGCTTTCCAGCTTAATCTAAGCTTTCCAGAGTGAATTCAAACTCTGGCACGAAAATCGTTTCGGGTGCTTTCGTGTCCAAACCAAATAAAAAACATCTTCAAGCATGGACCTCATATCACTGAATTTAATGTTCTTAAAGCAGCATCTGAATTCTTTATTAAACAGGACCTCTCACCCCTAAGTCAGGGGCCTAATATCTCTTGAGTATGGACTTCGAGAGAAAGCAAATGTTAGGAAAACCCCTACACAGAGAGTGACACAAAAACACTTTTGGGGGCAAAAAGAACTTGAACAATCAAGTGGGAGTTTTTACATGCAGCAGGGGTGTGCATTTACTGGTAGTACAGGAACCGGGTAACCATTTGAAAAAAAAAACCACGGGTACCCAGGTACCCGTTAAAGAAACCCAACGCTAAACATGCCAAAACACAAATCTCAGAAGTTTCTGTTGAGATTATTTACAAAGGTCCGCACGATAATACTACTGCATCGGTGCATCAATACAGCAAGATACAAGTGTGTACAGTGAGCTTGATAGCTTTACGGTGTAAAACTGCAGCTGTCGTGAGCATCATAAGTGTGAAATATGTTTTGTTTTCCCATGTGGCCTGGTTTTCATTTTGAACATTCCCCACAAACGACTTCAAAACCTTTCTTTTTCATTGTCTGAGAAGTGACTAAGTAATTTGTAAAGTTGGTTATGGGTATCTGATCCCATAATCTAGAGTGGGTTCCTGACATTAACCGTTTGGTACTCGGGTAACCCATCCCAATGCACAGCCTTAACATGCAGAGTGCACTTGCATTTTTTTCCCGACAATTAAAGTCCAAGTTTCAAAAAAACAATCAGGAATTGGACCAATTAGCAAGACAAAGGGCCACACTTACCCTCTGGTTAGCTGCATCAATCTCCTTCTGTCTCTCCAAGTTCATCTCATCCCTCTCTCCTTCGTGATGTCTCTTAACTGCCTCCAGTTGCTTGGCGAAGGCATCGTCGGCTCGGTGTAACCTCTCCACTGCAGCTCTAGCAAGGAAGACCAAAGAAATACATGTACTGTTTGTGCAAAAAAAGAGGTATAAGAAACTAATTTGGTACACAGAAAGTTGACAAGGAATAACAAAGTACTCATTTCATCCCGAAAGAGCCTATTTATAATCTTATTGGGGAAGGGGTGTTGGGTGTATGCAATGAGCCAATGACAAAGTTTTTACTACATTTGCAATTTCTAATGATCATCAATAAGGGAACAAATATGTGCTTGGCCCCAACCGGTCTTAAACATAGTGTTTAATACCAGTCAAGCACATGTTTATTCCCAATCATAAATACCTTTTCCGTCAAAACTGTCAAAACTGTTCGATCCCAAAGTCAAAACAAGTCAAAAATTATAAATTTCTAACGATTTCGTTCAACAGTTTACTTCATGTTTTTCGGGACACCCCTCTAGCTAAATTACGGTATGTCCCTCTCGCGGGTACGTCGTAAACAACTCCTTATATGGAGATTGGCGCACATGTACTGCGAGATGTGGCGCAGAATGCAGCTCTGCCGGTGTATTGTTCAACCAATAAAACGATAAAAGGTAATGGATTTCATAGGAGTCCAAAATTCACGTGACACTGGAAAAGTGTTTAAGACCAGCCAGCAAAGTCTTTATCATCCATTTAAGACCGGCCACGTGATGGGCTCTTAGCCAATTGGAATGGGCAAACTGTAGTATTGATGAATATTTGATACCACACTAAATAAGCTTTTTTTTGTCTATGCACAGTTAAGGAACAACTTGGCATTTTAAAATAAGAAATATATTTTATATATTAAAATAAGTTAAAAGGAATCACTCGGCGTAAAGTTTTTTGTTTTCTGAAAAGAAACTTGTTTTTTATGAATTTTATGTTTTTGAACTTATTTCTTGTTCTTAAAAAAAGTGATACTTGAATGCAATAGTGTGACTGTCACAAGCAGGTGTCTTCATTTTCAAAGACTACTGGAATGGACGTTTGATATATATGTACTGGTTTTGGATCAGTCATACTACAGACCCCGAGAGATGTAATGACTTGCGAATGACCCAACCAGCTCCCCTGAGCAATTAAGCTGCTTCCTTGAGGAGGATTATGTCTGGATGAGGACCAACAGCTGAACATGAGCTTCTAGAACCAGCAATACTTCTCTTCACTCAGTGAACACACACGATGGTGGTAACTAAATTATGACTGTATATGTAGAATGTGAGTTGGGAAGACATAACCTCTTTTTTGAATGATGGCTTTTTGGCAGACCCCAGCCCGCTCGGTGGTCGAGTGATAAGACGTTTGCACTGGTGAGCAGGAAGTCATGGCATTGATATTTTTTTTGGGGGGGGGGATTTTTTTCACAAATTATCGGACAGCACTGAGCACACAGCGTTATGAAATTACATTAAATTACGCAAAACCCAAGATTTTGAAGAAAAAATCTGAAAAATGAGGGCATCAATGGGTTCAGGTACGACAAAAATGGGATAGAAATGGACTTAATATTACCCATACAGCAAACCTTAATTTTGAGACTAAACACATCCCACTTTGGCTAAACGTTACATAAACTTCAATTTGTATATCAATTTATCCTGGTGGTAGTCAGAACAGCTTGACTGGAACACAGAGTCAACATCTCTGCTTGTTTCGTGATCAAAACACTTTGCAGGTTTTTTCTCCATGTTTTCTTGAAAAGTGTCATATACACTGAGCTGAAACTTCACCAGGCTAGATTTTGAACATTCTTCTATGGATTTTGAGTGGTGTTATTAATGGAAATGACAGGGGCAGATCAAGGAATTTTTGCAGGGGGGGGGGGGGGTTCATCAGCAAATAACTTTAGAATGTAGACAGGTTTTTAATTCTTGAGGGGGGGGGGGGCTGGCTCGTACCATACTTTCAATGGGGGCGCTGTTCAAATCCGACGATAATTAACACAACATCACAGAATAGTGTACAAATACCGTCTAACCAAGCTGGCTCTGTCCGTATTGTGTGCACAGACGGATATTGTTACCAGTAATTTTTTTGGGTGTTTTTGACAGAGCTGACATTTTTTTAATTTTTTTTTAACCCCCCCCCCCCAGATCTGTGCCCGAACGACCAAATGCATTGAAAAGCAAATGATCTGACATGCCTTGAAGTCAATTGCGTAAGATGAAGTTAAGACTCACTTTTCGGCCTGGACGGCTTTATCTCTCTCCTCTTTCAGCTTGGTCTCCTTGGTGTCAAAGTTCTGCTTGACCTGCCGGACCTGGGTCTCCAACTGACCAATCAAATCTCCCTTCTCCTTCCACTTGTTGTCCAGAGATCTAAACATCAGAAATTACCAATCAATAAAACAAATACACCACAGGCCTCCAAGCACTTTACAAACACAAAGTTCCATGAATTTCCCCTAATATTTCCCTGAGAAATTTCCAAAATTCCACGACAAATATTTACACTAAATAAACACTAAAAAGCCACCATAGCCAGTCAGTCAATACACAACTTGGGCACAAAACAACAAGATGCGCATACGCCAAACTGGCAAAAAACTTTCCCTTTCGGGTCACTGCCAAATTAATTTGTTTTGGGTGTTTTTCCCAAATTACCTGAGTTTTCCCTCACTAGAAAAGTAGAAATTCATTTTCAAGGTTTCCCTGATTTCCAGAGTGGCTGGAAACCCTGCAACTTGGCTCATTCTTACTTGTACTTTGTATTCAATTGTATTCATTTGTATTACATTGTATTACATTGTATTACATTGTCTTACATTGTATTTATTCCCTGATTTCCAGAGATGCTGGAAACCATGCAACTCATCCCATTCCCACTTGTATTACATTGTATTCAATTGTATTACATTGTATTACATTGTATTTATTCCCAGATGAATCAATGAAACCATTCAGTGCTACGGAGGTCTTGGGCGTTATGGGAGTAACAGGAAGGGCGGTTTTGGGCGGTACAGGACCTAATGGGTTCCAATGAGAATAACAGGAAATTTCAAAACTGCACAAGAGTTTCTTTAAGTGTTTGTCAGTCTTTGAAGTTTGAATTCAAATTGAGGTTTAACGAGGGGAAGCATGTTAATGCATGGAAATGTTGCAGTTTCTATTGGGGTGAAAAGGTCAAGATTGTTACGAATGGTAGAATGTTTTTTGTGTGTGTGTGACATTTTATTACTTTGTCAGGAATTATTTTGGTACAGGTTTGGGGCAATAAGGAAAGAATAAAAGGTCATTTGTTATTTTTAGGGTCTGTGAGAATGATTCAAACTCACATACTTAGTTATCTAACGCAGACATCTGAACAACAGACTCGACATTGGAATTAGCCCGCTGTCACAGGATAAATATCCCACGTACAAGAGGGAGGGTGCGAATGTGACGTTGAGGCTTATTAAGGCAGACTTTTATGGCACACTGTGCCGTCTTGTACACAAGCAGAAACAACTAAGGCCAAGTTCGGGCAAGGACCATTAGTCGACTAGTGGTTGATTTGTGACGTACCTTACGCCTGCGCACTAATAGCAACGTGCGAACGTCTCTAGTCAAACGCTGGTCAAAATGTCATCGCAAAACTTCTGGATCCTGGCTCTCTGCTAGCGTTATGAATGCGCGCGGCTATTGGTTACCAGCGAAGCAACGAACCCCCATAGGCTGGTTCCAAATAGTCGACTAGCGTAGTCAACCACCGTCGACTAGACAGAGTTCGGGCAAACGTTAGTTAACCATTGGTCAACTATAGTCCTTGCGCGAACTTGGCCAGAGTTGCTTGCTGCTTCCTCAATTGACTGACAGAATGAGGTGAAGTGTTGGCTGAGCCCAGAGATGTTTTTGGTTATTTTCGCCGGGCGGACATACTGAATGACCGAGATTACTGTGCATCTATGCAGCAAATCTGTAATTATGTCAATCACAAGTCCGTTCACAAGTTCGGTCACAAGCATAGAGCTACATTAAATTACTACAGCGCTAACTCCTCATTCCCCTGCGGAGATGCTTTGAAGCCATCCTGAGCGCGGACATTTTCTTCGCAGGGGTACAATGCTTCGCAGCGCTACGATGCATCGTAGGTTCTGACGAGTTTCATGAAATCGGGTGCAGGTCAATTATTCGTCAGAATGCATGTAGGAAAATGGACAATTTTCCTACATTTAAATATCTTGCATAAATGTCCTTAAATGGCCCCCCCCCCCCATATCCCTACTTACCTGTACGCCCTCCTGCTGTCTTCAAGCTCCGCCCCCAGCTCAGCTACTTGGCCCTTCAGTTCCTCTTTCCGTTCCCTCAGTCTCTCAACCTCCTCCATGGTGTCTTGGTTGACGGACTGCTCGCTGGCCAGCTGTTCCTCCAGACGACGCTGGTGGCTCAACGATTCCTCTCTCGCCTGCTTGATCTCACCGTCCCGTTCAACAAGACCCTGAGAAAAAACAAGTTTTCTTACATCAATGGTGGCATTATCTTCCCCCAAAACTTAAAGGTATTGAATTCACGTTGATCTCAGAATTCATATCGATCTCAAAATCATTACTTTCAATGTCTGGAGTCAGCAAAATTTGTGCAATTCTGTCATGCTGGAAAAAAAATAAAATAAACTTAAATATCCTCAGCAAGACATGAACCAAAGTATATTTACCCCATTAGCACATGTATCGAATGGTATTACATTTTATTTATTCCCCGATTAATCCATAAACCATACAGTGGTGAGGCGGTTAAGGGCGGTACAGGGAGTAGCAGGCAAGGCGGTTTGGGGCGGTTCAATCATGGTGTGGGACCTGTACTCCTTGCTAGTGGTGCTCTACCTACCTCTTTGAGTTTCCTGATGGTATCCGTCTGATCGTCTAGCATCTTGGTCTTGATCTTCAAGGCGTCGTTGTCTCTCTCAGACTGCTTCCTCAAGGAGTCCGCCTCGGCCATCAAGGCCTCGATACGTGCCTCCAGTCTCCCTCTGTCCTGAGCCAGGGACGAACCTCCAGAAAAAAAAAACATTCAAAAATGTCCTAACCAGTTTCTAAAATAAGAGTTAGATTGTGGTTTTACCGTGCGACATGATATCTCTTTGGTAAGTTTGTAGACATGAAAGTGTCGAGCAATATGCTCTTTTGTCTTGAAGAGACAAAATCTGTTTTTATTTATTGTTAAAAAGGCTGCGTCTAAATTATTTGGCTGCGGCTGGCGGCAACATAGGTATCTATGGGGAGTGGATTCAGCTGCTTTCATAACTGCATGTCTATGCCAGTTTTAGTCAAATAGTTCCTCCACGGCCATCATTAACTTCGTTTCTTGCTGTTTTTTTTGCAAGTCGGCCAGATTTGTTTACAAGTTGGCCAAATATGCCAATATGCCAAAACTTTTAATGTAGTGTTGATGTCCTCCAGAGCAAAAGTTTCGCCTCAAATTTCACAGTAAATAAAACTTCTTCAAGCTGTAAACATTCCCGTTCAGAAACCTTGTGTTTACCTACCCTTTACAAACTTAAGAGAGAGTTTTACTCTGGCGCGATTTTCCGATTTCATTTTGAAGTGCCCAAAGAGCCCTTTTAAAAAGCGCCCAAAAATAAGAACATAATTTTCTGACAAACATGTTGATAGATATGAGAGTGGAGGTGGTAACGTTTTTAAAGAATCTGTCAACTTTAAAGAAATTCTTTAATGTTCACTTTGGAATTCCTGAGATTTGTTCAAGTGCGCCACTTTAGGGAACACTCTGCCAATTTCGAGCCCCACCAAGAGACCCAAGCCTTCTTAACTTGACCTCCCCTGACCTTGCTGAGCCAGCTCCTGACTCCACAGTTTCCTCTCCGCCTTCAGCCCCTCGATGACCGACTCCTGGGCCACCAGCTGGGCCGTCAGTCGGCTCTTCTCTTGCCGGAGGGCTTCATACTGGAGCTGGGTCCTCCTGGCTTCCTCCAGCTTGGATTCTAATGTCTGGATACGCTCCTGTTGGCAATGGAACAGCCAAAAAGTTGTAGCTCAGAACAATTTGAAAGAAAAGACGAGATGCTGCAGGCAAATTTGATATTTTTAAACCTTTCTCAGGCTACGCGCAAGAAAGGACTGTTACAAATATTCCATATTTTCCAAGGACTGTAACCAAGTGGAACCAATTACCTGTGAACATTACAGCAATCTCTGACAAACTACCCTTCAAGCAACAACTGTATAAGCACTTAAGAAACAAGAATCATCCATGCGCACTCACAACCCTGCTCAGTTTACTCCAACTGCAATGCAACAAGGAGTGTTGAGCAGTACTGTAGCAGATGCAGATGTAAACAATACAGAGAGTAAATGTTTCAAGGACAATGATTTAGGCTGCACAAGTTAGACATACCTTGGATGTTGCCACTGTCTCGTGTTTAGATTTGGACAGCTCCGATATTCGACCCTTCTGTTCCTTTACCATCTGTAAAATGGGGGTCAAAAATTTAGCAAAGATAATAATACAACTCGCATTTGCCTGGGTCTGATTCAAACTGTCACTGTACTTGCCAGAGCAGATAGCTTTAACAACCAGCAACCAAGCTGGGGTAGTCTGGCTAATATGGATCAATGATTCCTTCATTAAAGCATCTGCACTAGTAAGCAAGAGGTTTCAGGTTTAACATACTGGACGCTTCATTTTGACAAAACCAGCATCAGAATTCCTCAATGGACTCTGCCCAAGTTGGCCAGTGGGTACGATTGATCAGCATAAGTGCCCATGCATGTGTCACTGCAGCACATAATGAACACTAACCATAAACCTTCCCTCTCTAGACTGGTTGTCACCTCCATGGTTACACACAGTCAGACTGTTAACCCTTGAGCACCTTGTAGTTTCCTCCATGAATCCATAAAATCATAGAGTGCTGGGGCGGTTTGGGGGAAGGGTATAAGGTGTAACAGGCAGGGTGGTTTGGGGCAGTACAAGGTTAACAGATGGACTGAGGACCAGTTTATAAGCCTTATCATGAGATTGGAAGGTTTGCATGGTGAAGGGTAATAATAAGATAAGTTGTTGCGGTAGCACCATGTGGCAAAATCTCTTTTGTGAGTATCGAAGTCTTTATCATGTATTACCTAGATTACATCAAAATTGAGCAAAACGCATGAACCAGCAAAGCTTTCCTTCCCATGGGATATGGTACTAGGTCATAAAGCGCCCTCTATTGTCTATGGAAGGAGTTAATAAACAGAGCGGACACTCACAGCGGTCAGTTCAGCTACTATGGTGGATGATCTCTTCTCCTTGTCTGTCATAGCTCCGAGGGCTTGCTTGGCTGCAGACGACTCGTGGCTGACTCTCTCAAAGGCATCCTGGAGCTAAAACATTTCAAACAGGATAAGTATTTCTTTGCGACGGTGAAAAGTAATTTTTTGGGTAGTATCCAACATTGGGAAGTTGGCCCATCAAGGTGAGGACTACATTAGAAAAGGTAATGAAATAATTTTGCAGAGATATTGATCAGTACTGCTATTTGAACAGTGACATCCTGATCAGTATGGGAGAGAGGAAATTTCAATATCGGCAACTTTGGGGAGCAAGGAAAGAGCAGCAAATGTTAACGTGCATTTATACCTGAAGCCCTTCTTTCAATACTTTTAATTTGGACATTCATCACCCGGTCAAGTGGAAATTAGTAACTAAATTAAAATTTTGAGTAAGCATTTAATTTGATTTAAACGAATTGTTTCATCCTGAATTTATCTCCCTTTTTTTTTCTTTTGGAAGGAGGGTTGGTAAAACGCCTAGAAGAAAAGTTTGCCTTTTATAGAGTGATTTTGTGAGGATGAAAACATCAAATCCTCTCACTTTTAAGATTTGCAAATGCTTAGGTCACTCCAAATGGTAATTTGTACCATCCTTTAATAAATTTTTCTTAGGTTAGTTGGTTAATTATTTGCAGTGATACCTCATGAAATCTATGTGCTTCCATCTGGAGAGCCAGACGAAATTCATCCTCCAACTCGGAATACTGTCTCGTCAACGCATCAATGCTGAAACAGGAACAATTCCAAGATTAACTGCTTGTTAACGACATTGTTTAAAAGGTTTGAAGAACATATCTGGAAGAAACGCCCTTTGGCTGTTCCTTGTTTTCCACTGCTACAAAAGCAATAGCCAGAATGATAATTGATAGAATGATAGAAGGACCAAGAGCCGGTCTACAACACTGGGGCCATGATGGCAACAAGGCAGCCTATTAACAAACATACTTTTTGATGCCATCTTTACAGAGCGTCATTCTGCCGGCCAAAAAATGGCTGTAACTAACACCACTATAGAGCCTCTGCATCATTGATGCATTTTTTGTTATTTTACTTCAGTAATGGACCGATCCAGTAAGCTCCGCCCAGTGCGCACGTGGGCAAATTAACACGTGCTCCTCTCCAATGCCTTGCTGCATTTTCCTTCCGCGCGCAACATACGCGCATGCACGCATGTCGGACTTTAGTGCACGCACGTCGGACATAAATCACAGCTGTGATTGGTCAGAACACCATGGGGCGGTGCTTACTGGATCGGTCCATTAGCTCTGTGCAAGAACAAGACAGGGGGCTTTTTGACCACTTTCGAGAGCCCCGTGGACGGGGGACACACAGCCTGTGCGTTCTAGTTCACTCGCGTATAGCGCAAAGTATGCACGACCAATGTTATTCTGAATGTGCCTTAATCCATAGCGTCTTCATGTGAGCGTCAGGCGTCGCCAACAATGCCTCCAAATGTCTCTCCCAGTGGTCTCCCCAAACTCTCCCGTTTTTACCGTTATGAGGGGGTGCATGTGCACAGAGCCCATAAGGAATGTACAAGAAGTCTGCTCATGCCAAGCATGCAACTGTAAATTCACCAAAAAAGAGGAAATTCCTAAAGTCAGAAGACTTTGTACAGTGATTTTCAATTTTTGAATGGCAGAAATGAGAATTAAAAAAAGAGGAAATCAGCTGATCCGAGGAAAAGTTGCATGCCTGTCATGCATATCCCTGTGTAAAACAAAAGCACCGGCTTCAAAACTTGCTGCAAAGCAAAGCGAAAGATTTACACCAAACAATATTCTGTGCCCCTCCCCCCCCCCTTTTTTTTAATAGTCAGGTTCTCCTGTAGATTCCTACTCCCTTGTAAGCTGCTATCTCACAACTACTGAACTGAAATACTTTCTTACCGTTCTTTGTACAACCTATGCTCCTGTTCGTGTCTCGACTGTTCTTTGGATATCTCATTGCTGATCACATCTTTGAGTTCCTTGCTGTCTAGACGATACAAGTCATTCAGCTGCTGCCTGTAACCAAAATAAAAACTAATTCAGAATACTTAAAGAGTCCCGTTGGGAGCTAGGCCCCAACTCAGGAAAAACATAGAGTTCTCACTGGGAACAACCTAGGAGCACAATGAACCTATATGAATAACAACAACAATGTGGTGTTTAAATAGGACTTTATAAGGATGATGTCTCAAACAATGTTGGGTTTTGCCCTTCACTGACATATCTTTAATTTTTTATAAACACTGTATACTCAGTGTTGTCCGAGTGATTGTGAGAAAAATCACTCAGATTCGAACCAGCCAGCCGACCCCGGCAAGCTCGGTGGTTGAGTGGTAAGACGTCTGCACTAATAAGCAGGAGGTCGTTGGTTCAAGTCCCAGGTGAGCGAAGGGCAAAACCAAATATTGAATTTACATCACCCCGACGCAAATTCCATCTCAAATTACTCAACCATCATTACTCTGGTTGATCAGGCCATGATAACAGTTTTATGCAGCACTCTGTGCTCGGAGCAATCTGTTCTCTACCCCTCAAGATACCCATTCACTATTTCTGGATGGAGAGAAAGGCAATGTGATAAAGTGTCTTGCCCAAGAACACAAGTGCCATTAACCCCATCAGGGTCTGGACCCCTATACTGCCACACAAGTTGGGCACTAGTCCGAAAATTTGGGACTCTCAATACCGTGTATGAGAGTCCCAAAACTTAAGGTATTAAAAACTTGCTAAACAAGAAAACAGACTGGCACCTAAAACAACCAGTACAACACAGCTTCAGTACTGCATCGATCAACCATGCCAACAGAATTTAAGAAACATGTGGCATGAAGCGGGAACTAGTCTCAATTTACTACACATTTCTCCATAGCCAAGCCACCAGACTATTGACACTGAATGAAGAGGTCAGTCTTTTCAAATAGTTGGACCATGGTTGGACATGTACCAGTATTTAGCCCCATTTTGAAATCACTTGACTTCCCTCTCATGTGCAAAATATTGAAGAAAAGTCTCCTTCAAAAATTGAATTGAGTCTGCAAACTTGGTTGGTGAAATACTGAGGACGTTTTCTTTGCGCCCCAATGGAATATTTGGAGAAATTTGCTGGCTAAACTGTGAGTAAAGTGGGCCTGATTTAATTTGCACGTTTCAGAGCACTCCGGAACTCTGTCTGGTTGGGCACTTTAACCATTGGACCATTGTGCTCTACAAATCAGCAATGGTTTACACATACACTTGCTGATTTGAGAATGACCCATTACAAAGCTGGTTCTAGGCTTCCATGACCCGACCACCATTAGAAACTCACCTATGTTCCTGTTCTCTGCCGGCCAGCAGTTCCTGCAGTTGTTGTATCTTTCCTTCTTGTTGTTTACACTGAGCTTTCACCAGGTCCACCTCCCGGCCCATGGCGGCTGCTCTCATCTGATATTCCTGAGTTTTCTTGACCTGGGGAAGAAGAAGTAGAAAAACTAGAGATGTTATGGGCTCTGTGCACAAGTACCTCCTCAACGGTCACAAAAGGAGAGTTGGGGGAGACCACTGGGAGGGACATTCGAACGCTTTGCTGACGGCACCTGATACCCACGCTGTGGATTTTTGTGGACATTCAGAATAAGATTACCGTAATTTTCGGAGTATAATTCCTGGTGTTTATTTCTCATCGTCAATTTCCATATTATTTTTTTTAACGAATATCAACCATAGATGTTTTGATATAACTTTTGTGGCCCTTTTTTATAGCTTTCGTAGTGCAAATGGAACTTTTTGTGGCCCTTTTTTATAGCTTTCGTAGTGCAAATGGAACTGGTCCAGAGCTTTTTTGCTTTAGAATTTGGAGGCCTTACAAAGTTGAAACCGCTGCGGTTGGTGCGGCTTATACGCCGACGTCAACTTTTAATTGCAGATTTTTGCGTGCTGCGACTTAAACTTCGCGGGGCCTTTATTCCGAAAATTACGGTAGTCGTGCGTACTTCGCACTATTCGTGTGCAAACCTGTATGCGCACGCGATGTGACCTGTCCACTGGGCTCTCGTAAATGGAAAAAAGTGCCCGTTCTTGTTCCTATTAGAAGTGAGTTCTGAACGGAAGACTTGGTGCCGTAGCACATATTGGAGTGATGGAGTGTTTGTGATGGAGGAGAATCTGACTGAGTGACTCACTTCATGAGCATGCTGGTTCAGTCTCTCCGTCTCCATCTTGGCCGATGTTGTCTCCATGGCTCTCAGAGCTCGTCTCTGCTCCTCCTCGGCTTTCTGAGAGGCGGCCAACTTGGAAGTGAGGTCATCCAACTTAGCCTGTGACATAAAACAACACTGCCTTAAGTATCTTGGTCTTTAGTGAATTGGGAATCATTAATGTAGTCCAGTTTGTTATGATGGATCACGCGTCATAACAAGTCAATCAAAAGTCAATAACAAGCTAATCGTAATTCATCAATAAACAAACACTGCAAATGTACTGTAACATATGCATTCCTTTGTCATAAGTCATCTTCTGTTACTTCTGACCTAACTCATGATGTGCCTTGTGATCGGTTTGTGATTGACACAATTTCAACTCTGGGACACCGCAACATAAGAGACAGAAATCTTAATATATGTGGGACCTCTTGCATCCTTTGCAAGTTGTGTTCTCTGAACTTCACCAGTTGTCAACTTGCTTGTCCAAGGAACTAGACAAATGCATTTCTTTGGTACTGTTCATCCCCTGATTCTAGACTCCTTCTCATTCATTAATGCTTGCTCATTCATTAATTCCCCTTTAAGTAGGGGCCTCGTAGCCCAGCGGTTAGAGCGTGGAGCTACGGAGTGGAAGGTTGGCGGTTCGAATCCCATTCGGACCAAAAACTGGAAAACTCTCTCTGACAACCCAACAGTAAAATGGGTACCTGATTCGTTCAGGGAAGGTAAGACGGCGAGAGGAGAGGACTGGGCACCGCCACTCATATGCCGCGCCCAAGACACAGTGGACCTCTAACATCCCACTGCCCCTACGGCCAGTAATGGCTATGGGATCTTTACCTTTAACCACCCCCTGGTACTTGTAACCACTCTTGAGGATTGACTTATGATTTACTTGTGACTGGACTTTACCGGTGGGAATCAAAGGTGACCAGCCCGTAAAAATTGTGAGTTACTTGACTCAATTTTGTCTGCCAGAATGTTCCTCCTGCTTATAGATCTGACCTGGCACTCCTCCATGTGGCCCTCCAGTCTGATTCTAGACTCCTTCTCATTCATTAGTGCTTGCTTTAGTCTGGTGCTGGCAAGGATAGCAACATCTTGTAGCTCACGCTCTTCATTTGCTAGTTACGAAACACAAAAGAAGTTAGCACAGATGTCTGCTGAGCACAGAAGATATATGCTTAGCGAAAGATGATTACCGACCAAAATAGCATACAATGAATATTGCTTACAACTGGTTCTCAGCTGAGTTTTGCTTAACACATAAATTTCCAAACAAATTGTATACATTTGAATCTAATGTCAATGTCAGGCAAAGAAACCACATACGTAAATAAAGATAACTTCATTGTGAAAAGTGTTTTTAAGTGCATACAATATTACTTATTCTACAAGCATGAGTATTACGAAGAATAATTTTCGTGTGTGTTTCTACTTTGCTCTATAAAATCCAAGGGCGAAGTGGAATCTCGGACACATATTTTAGCATTCCACCATGAAAAGTGGAACAACAAATGCATCTTCCAGAAAACGTAAAGCACAATAAAGATTCAATGTGTACGCTGTGGTCAGGTTTAATCTGTTTCGTCTGTTTTATTTGCAGCAGGAAAACACAAGCACCTCAGAACAGTGCAGGATACACTAAGCAGAAAGGGATTATATCACAACTGTTTTTGCAACGGACTGACCAATTGGGATCAAGGATATAAATTTGCTGGTTACTTTTTGCCTGCAGTTCTTTGATGTGATCAGCCAATCGGATCGCTGCTTGCTCGGCCTTCCATCTCCTCTCTCGTTCACTGTCCAACTCCTGCATCAAGGCCTAGACAAGAAGATTATCAAATTAGCATCAACACTTCCTTGAAGTAAAAGCTTATTTTTTCCCCTCTTGACTGTCTTTCTCGTTGGCTAACCTCTGCATCAAGGCAAAACAACAACAGGAACACATTTCATGGGCTTTCTCTTCTACATTCTTTTCATATCTGCCTCCTCCATTGAAGCCTAAGCAAGTAAAAAAAAAACAGACAAGGTATTATTAACCAGTTTTCACAAATTCTCCTCCGTGGTAATGTAATCTGTTTTTACTACTCATCTTCTAAAATGTTAAACTAATCATTATAATCTGAGACCTTTGAAAGTATTTTTAAACATAAGTGTAGATGTAAATTTAGTTTCGTCTCTTTTTTTTAATCAATGTTATTATATAAGCTGTCGGCAAGGACAATTTCCTTTATTGGATATTGGCCGTGGGTGAGCAACACGGCCGGTGTTTGCCAGCGGCCGTTGTGACGTGTCTAATGTTGAGAACAGTAGTGTGCACGACTTAAATTCTCCATTATGCTTAAGAATAATCAACCTTAATTTAAAATGGAAAATTACATACAAAGAGAAGAGAGATTACGTTCTGTGAATTAAACTTGCTGAAATGTTCGTTCTCCATCACAAAGTTTGTTTGGCATTTTTTACGATGTCAGATTCTACCTATGGTTCCCGTCCTTAACTTTGGCCATTGTAGCGTGCACAGCGGGAACCAGTCTAACATTGCTGCACATCGCTGAATCAAACACACATGCTTTCACCAGCTGTTCTGATCAACTTTTGGGGGGGCATAATAATCCCCTAGTCTCTAGAAGAAAATATATTACTAGTAGATATAAAACTTTATACATTGCAAATCAAATGATGCAAAAAAGAAAAAAAAATCTCTAAATCCTCAATTATAACTTGTGCAAAGCCTTTCAAACAATTCCCCCCACTGCCGTCACTCACCAGTTTGTCAGCGTCTTGTTCTGCCGTAGTCTGGACAACTCTCTGAGCACGGCGAGGGTGACCTCTGACCTCTGAGCCACTAGGCGGTGACCCTGTGCTAGTGCTAATGACTGACTTGGCTTGTTGCTGAGGACGTGTCCTTTCTACAGACCTGGAAGCAAAAAATAACAGTACCAACTTTTTATTCTTAATTCCCTTAACACATATTTTTTTCTAGGAACCTTCCTTGCCAGACTTTGTTATAAATACAGCATCCAGCAAAGATCTTAGAATGAAAACTTTACAAAAGTAAATGGTCATAAACATCCATCCATCCATCTGTTTATAGTCTGTCTGTCCCCGAACACAAAGGTTGGACTCCATGATGACCGTGTCCTCTTGGTCTGATAGCTTTCCTCCTCTCTGCCTGGTTCAATGCCAGACTAGCCTTGATCTGCAGGCACCTCAGGCCAGGTCACTCCACTTCTTCTTTGGACGGCTTCGCGGGTAGTTGCCAGGGATCTGGTAGTCGAGGATCTTCCTTGGCCAGCTGTCCTTGTTCATACGCTGGAGGTGACCAAATCAGCAGGGCGTCCCTGACGAATCACCTCATCAACAGCAGACAGACTGAAGCTGAAATATCACAATTGATTCCGTCATTGTTTGTGCTGTGTACCTGATTAGCTGCTGGCTTTCCAGTTTTTGTCGTCTTCCTTCCGAGGCCCGTGTCTGCCTGACGTTGGGTGCCTTAGCTCCCTTGGCCCTCTGCTTGATGGCGGCTCCCATGGACGACCCGCGGCTGTCCCCGTCGCTCTCATCAGTTTGATCTGTGTCTGTTGATTGAGTACAGAAGATACACATTAACAATAAAAAAGGGCAATTTTGTGGACAAAACTATCGAGCTCTGTGTCCATGTAACATATGAGCCTCTACGTCCAAGCAATGAATAATAAACTCATCTTTTTTCGCATGCAGGGTCCTCGCTGGAAATCCAGCGACAAAATAAAGGAGAACATAAGCCAAAGCCCACAGATTTTCAAAGGTGTTCATTCAGCACCACCTGATTTGCATATTGTAGCTTAGCCACTTGGGGTCGCTGTTCGTGTTTCAGAAAGTACATACGTGCGAGTGCCAGTGTTGTAGTCAAGTACGTTTTTCCGAGTACCGAGTACTGCCGAGTACTTAGGTTGCCAAGTATGAGTACAAGTACGAGTGCTTGTAGCTCTGAGTACAAGAACGGGTCTCCGAGTACGAGTATTTGTACTTCCGAGTACGAGTACAAGTACTTGTACTTCGGAGTAGGAGTACGAGAACGAGTACTTGCATTTCTGAATACGGCCATACGGCAAATGGTTCATTGTGCGTAATTGGCCCAGGACCAGTCAGACCGATATACAGACCTACTCACGGCTAGCTGTTAAATGTGTTTGTCCGGACCTGTGTCATATAGAAATCGGTCTCGTACGAAATTGGACTCTTTTTCCCTTTTATTGGTTAAACCCTCTCACGTGACCGGTCCCTCTCCTAATTATCTATGCATGAGCATGCACAGTACCACCAATGAGTCCGTATTTCATAAAACCTAAATTCATGCTACACCTGCACAGAGGAAAATCAGGAAATCTCGGTTTATCCACAACCCAATCAACCATTTCAAACTGAAAGTATCGATAAAATAAGGCCATGGTAAGTGAAGCTATAACATTTTTTTCCCCGAGTACTGCTATTCGAGTACAAGTACTTTAATGATCGAGTACAATCTCAACATGTCGAGTACAAGTACTTTGCTGCCCGAGTATGAGTACCATCATTTCGAGTACGAGTACTTTGACATTCGAGTACGAGTACGAGTACGAGTACGAGTACGAGTACACCAAAAAAAAGTACTCGAGTAGTACTCGAGTACGAGTACCGAGGACGAGTACTACAACACTGGCGAGTGCATAGCGCGCGGCTAATGTGTATGTCAGCGACCGAAAATCTACCATCAGACGCTACGGCTGAATGCTTTGACCAAGGCCTGCATAAAGTAGTGGGTTTGATATATCATGGGTTCGGAGGAGGGTGTATTCACCTCTCTTAGGCTTCCTCGACCTGTGTGATCTCTGTCTGTTGGTCGTCTCGTCATCTCTGTGACCGCGCGGACTCGTTGGAGCGCCGTGGCTCACATCACTCCTAGGCTCCGGTCTTCTGGTCATGATGTCGGCCAGCTGCTTCTCTAGTTGCTCCAGCCGCTTTTCATGGTCTGTGGCGCCAACCTGGCATGAATTACAACAAATATGAAATCCCAATCAATACGAAATTAGCTCCAAGTAGCTGCATGAGCAGCCTGTTCAGAAGTGAACCCTCAATCCTCCAGATTTCTACAGAAGACATATAGCCCCTTACCGCCAAGCTTGCTGGGGTTGGACGGCTGTTTTAAATCTGATTTATCAGCAGGATGTGAAATCAATGACTCTTGATGGTATTTTCAATCGGGGCGGTGTAAATTTTAATATACAGGGTGAGTAAAAAAACGAAACCCAAATGTCGGGACTTTTGTTTTATTGAAGTTCTGCATGTAGCACTTTCAAAATCTAGTACATGAAAGCCCAATTCATAAGCTTTCTTTTAGTACAAGAATCATTTAAATCACTCATGTACTTTTCAGGTTACGGAATTTTAAACATAACCATCGAGTTAAGGTTCTGTCCACGGATCACCAAAAAGGTGTGCGTTCTTTCAGCAAATCGAAAACAATTCACACACATCCCTATGTGATTTTGTTTTGTTTTGCTGAAAGAACACTGAACTTTTTTGCGATCCGTGGACAGAACCCTAAAACGGTGGTTGTGTTTAAAATTCCGTAACTTGAAAAGTACATGATTGATTTTAATGATTCTTGTACTAAAAGAAAGCTTATGAATTGGGCTTGCATATCCTAGATTTTGAAAATACTACATGCAGAACTTCACTAAAACAATGGTCCCAACATTTGGGTTTCGTTTTTTTTTTTACTCACCCTGTAGTGGAGACCCAAGGTTCAAGTGCCACCCAAGCCCCTGGTATATAACGCCAAATCAACAAAATTCCATTAGCCAATTGATGGACTTAGCCTGGCTGGGCCTCAGACTCAAATACAAGGACATGGACTCTGACTCAGACTTGGACACTAGGGACTTGCACTCAGACTTAAGAAGGTGGACTCAACGACAGCACTAATTCTCACCCTTCTACCACCCTGTCTCATCATTGTGATGTTGACTCCATGTCTGGTGTCAGTGTCCGTGGTGGTGGTAGTGGTGGTTGTCCCCGATGACATTACAGCTCGCTGGCGGAACCGGTCCAGCATCTGATCGATTCTCGGTGTCACCAGATTCACTGCTGGTTCCTGATATAAACAGAGGAAAAGGTTGGCAGTGATGCAAGCTCAAAAGTAAATGAAAAAAGGCTGTGTTCTACATGAAGGGTTTCAGTCGGGAATTCCCGATAAAATTTTATGCCACCGGGTCAGAGTTGTAATCAAGTAAGATACCACAATTCATCACAACTCATTCATAAGCCGTCTAGTCACAAGCCAAGTCACAAGCTATTCAAATGAACTGTGACAAAAGCATTCCTTTGTCATCGTTCATTCCCTGTTATGTGACCTGACATGAGAATTCACTTGTAGATGGACTTGTGAATTGACTAAAATGTTCACAGCCCTTCCAGTTTTGACATCACCTGCTTCACATTTTAGCTTACACAAACTCCAAATTGTTTATTTTAAATATGTTTTTTTTTAAATTGTAAAGAGTACTCAGTAATATTACGCTGACAATAAGTTGGCATGGTACAACTATGAACAAAGGCAAGTCAAGCCAGCACTAGTTTAAATATGGGAACACACTGAAGTATATAGACACATTGCCCAATGGATTTTAACTGAAATCCTTAAAAACAAACTTTGAGCCATTTATTAATCCTGGCATAAGTGTAATTTTTCTTTTTACCTGGGCATTTCCGGTGGTAGAATCTGAGCTGAGAAGGTATTCCAGGTACTGGTCTAATCCTGCAAGAATTGGGGAGCAAAATCATTCCCAAAAACCATTAGGTGCAGTTTGTTTCCAATTTCAGCAGGCATTACTGTTTATCAATCTGAGTTGTGATTGAGTAGTGATTGCCTTCTGGTTAACTTGTTATCGACTTGTGATTGATTTGTGATTGACTTGTGATTGACTTGTGATCGACTTGTGATTGACTTGCGATTGACTTGTGATTGACTTGTGATTGACTTGTGATTGACTTGTGAATGACTTGGAATTGACTTGGGATTGACTTGGGATTGACTCGTGATTGACTTGTGATTGACCTGTGATTGACTTAGGGATTGACTTGTGATTGATTTGTGATGACTTGCGATGACTTAGGACTGAATTGTGATTGACTTGTGATGGACTTGTGATGGATTAGCGATTGACTTGTGATGGCCTTGTGATTGACTTGCGATAGACCTGCAATATACTTGTGATGACTTGTGACGACGTCATTACAACCCTGCCCATTCTCATTACCTGGTATATCAGCCAGTACGTTGTCTGTGGTTATGCGCTGTCCTTGTCTATTTATACCATCTAATACTTGAAGCCTGGGTAGGGAGTGCAGCATGGCCATACGGTACCCTAGAAATAAGCATACAAAATTGTCCATTACTTTTAAAAGGAGTACTTCCAAAAGCAAGTTGCAATATATTTTTGGGAAAAAGACTGTAATTGGAGTAAATCATTGTACAGAGTGGTGTTTCCTTGAAGAAGCCACTTTTCAACAATTATATTTCAAAAACTACTACTTGATGAAAGGGGAGATTGTACATAATTTGCGACGTCAAGAAAACTTTTGAATATACAAAACACGTGGGATTCCCTAATGCTTGCCTATTCCCAGAATCCGTCAAAGTTTGCAAGAGGTTTTTAAGAATGTTGTAGAAATGAGGAAGGTAGAGCCTAGTCCGAAAATTTGGGACTCTCAATACTAGAGAACGAGAGTCCCAAAACTTAAGATACAAATATGCAATACAAGAAAATAGACTGGCACATGAAACAACCAGGGCCCAATTTCACGGCACTGCTTAACAGTTAGCAGAAAAGGTGTGCTAAGCATAGCAGAAAACTTTGCTAACCTTATTAGGGTTAGCAAAGCACTATTTTACGGTATGGACATGCTAACGGTCGCGCGTGCATGGAGATTTCTATTGTTACGTCACTAAATTAAGCAAATTTGTCCTCTGAATAAGCGTGCCTTTTGCTGTGCTTACTGCTAACGGACTCCATGAAATAGAGGCTCTGTTAGCAGAAAATCGTGTGCTTAGCAGCGCCGTGAAATTGGGCCCAGTACAACACCCTTTTAGTAGTGTGTCAGTCAACAGTGCCAAACAAAAGAAACATCTGGTACCCAGTCTGTATTTCTACACAATTCCATAGTCATGCCACCAGACTACTGAAGTGTCAATCTTCTCCAAAAGTTGGACATTCACCAGTCTAGTCTTATCCGCTTCGTTCACAAGTACCCCCCCCCCCCCCCCCCCCCCACCCCACCGGCAAAGAAGTACAGTTGAAGGGGGCCGACCGACGCCATCTTGCCTGACTGCAATTTTGCCGCGACGCACTGCGTGTACACAGTACAAATGCCCTGGTGAAAGTGCGTCACAAGGAACGGTGCACGTCAACCAGCTAAATGTCCCGCCCATGGGACGTCATTGCTAGGTAAAAGGGCGCCCTCTTATTCGCACACGGAGCCCATAGGCTTCAAATTGAAATCACTTGGCTTCACTCTCAGGTGCAAAATGTTGAAGAAAAGTCTCCTTTAAAAAATTGAATTGAGACCTCAAACTTGGCTGGTGGAATACTGAAGAATCTTGTCTTTGCCTCGTGAAAAATGTGGAGAATTTTGTTGGCTAAAGAGTGAGTAAAGTTGGCCTGATTTTGTTTTGCATGTTTTTCTGCACTCGAGGTCCCAGTCTGGGTGGAGAACCCCCTCCCCCTTAACAATCAAGAGATGAAAAAAATATATTTGAATTGTTAAAAATGACAACGAAAGCTACGGAGTGCGCTTTCAAAATAATGCGGCCTTAAAAGGGAATAGGCCTATACAACATTTGCAAACATCAAAAAACAAATCCACCAAATTATTATGAATACCTTACTGGACTGTGAGTGAATGACAGTATAAAGCATCCTGTAAAATCATGGCACCTGGTGTGCTGTCACTATCAAGAAAAGCGGTATTTTTGTAAATACTGCCCCCAATTTACCATATTTAGTTAGGCCAAACAAAAAAAATACTCGGTCTCTGGTCAGCGCGCGCGTCGATTTTAATCATGCGCGTCAACCTTTTTTTTCTTCAAATTAACACGGAAGCTACAACCCTCTATTGCCGCGTCTCCTCAAATTTTTGTACCAAGGAGCACCAAGTAATGGGGAAATTGCACCAAGGCAAATGATAAAGGGCACCAAGGCAAATTATGGAGGACACCAATGTATAATGAGGACACAAAAAAGCAAAATAGTACCCACCTTGTCTGTACAATACAAGCTTGAACAAAAAAAAAGCCACCAAAAAAAAAAAAAAAAAAAAAAAACCGCGTCGCCGCATCAATTCCCGAACTTCGGTCTGACCAGAGACCGACTATTATTTTTTTGGCCTTAGTCCGCATTTTTTTGGCAATTGACTACACACTTATGATCGGGTACAAGGTCTTGTTCTCTGACCTTACACTAGACCTTGATCATGCTGCCACCATTTCAGTCATGTTCCCTGTATCCAATAACAGTACTGAATGCTGATGTTCATTGTGCAAAAAGGAACCCGACTATTTTTCCTTCCAGCCTCCCTTTGGTTACACTGATGTGAATGGGAAAAAAAATCAAATGGCTGCAACATGATAATGGTCTATTCCCCGATGTCTATAAATTGTTTCGTTTCATCTTAAGTGGGGTCAGGGAACCAGACTACAGGAACATGATTACTTTTCGTGGTTTTTCCAGAATCTACGAACACAAATATTCAAACAAGTTAATGTAACATTATTTGCTATACAAAATTTTTGCTATAATTTCTGAAAATTACAGCAAAAGCAAATGTTGAATATTCCTTTAAAGTGATTCCCTCCCCCTCCCCCCCTATTGCACCACTCCTGTGGAGTTGGAGTAAATGTCCATTTTGCTATTACCTGGCTGACGACACACAGGGTTATCTTCCGCATCCTGCGCTAACACAAGCTCTATTAGGTGCTCCAGTCCGCTCACACACTCAACGATGTGATCGACCGAATCTAGCTGGTTCCCTTGCAACTCCAGGTGTGTGAGGCTTGACTGGGAACCGTGGAGGGCCACCAGACCACGGAGGTCCGTGATGATGTTGTAGGACAGGTTAAGTCTCTTCATAGACCTGCAAAAAATGAATTTTTAAACAGAAAAATTAAGACAGCGCTCCTGTTTGGGACGGCAAACATGCACATAACTCTCATGGAATTATGAGACGACTATTAAGGGAAAAGTAAAAAAATAAATCAACACTTTAAATTGGGATTTTTTTAGAAGCTCTACGTTACAACCTATATCTGAGCATTTCCGAGCCAGTAAGTAAAGTCTTTCACGAGCCAATGTGGCCCATCAGGCCGGCGTTTATCTCTGGTTTCAGTAGCATGAAACGACTGAGAATATTTCTACTCCCCCTGGATGGGATGCTAGTCCATCGCAGGTTACTCCCCAGCTAATGCCGGTACCCAGTTATACCATGGGTGGAGAGAGGCAAGTGAGGATAAAGTGGCTTGCCCAAGGACACAACATATGGCCAGTGGCAGGATTCGAACCCCTGACCCTCTGATCATGTGTCACAAACCCTAACCGCTAGGCCACACTCTCCCCCATTTCCGAGCCAACTTGGCCCTTTTTGTTTTCAATAGCAAATATATTTTAAAGTTTTAAATTCAAAATCTATTTCATTTGTTAAAAATCAGCACACACTCCTGTTACTTGCCCCTGATTTGAAGTTTTTAATTAACGGTCCTCACCTTAAACTTCCGAGACCTGTCACAACCTTGATCTTGTTACAAGACAAATTCAGCGTCCGAAGTCCAGTCAGTGCCTCCAAGCCTTCGATACGAGCAATCTGATTGGACGAGAGGTCCAGGTGTTGAAGATGCTGCAGACCAGTCAGTCCGTCGATGGTGCTGATCTGATTGCAATGGAGGTTGAGCGTGTGGAGACTGGATGCCAGACGCAGACTACTCAGGTTACGGACTCCGGCATCAATCATGCATAATTCATGAGGGTTGATGGGGTCGGAGTTCATATGCTGGTCCTCTGTCATGCCAGTCAGTCTGACTCTCAAATTCTTGGTAGGCAATTGCCTCTGATTAGAAACGATGAAAAAATGAAAAAGGAAAAAAAGAGGTGGACTAGAAATGATGAAAAAAATGAAGAAGGAAAAAAAAAGGTGGACGGCCCAGCAGAAAATCCTACTGCCCGACATCAATTTGTCACCCTTTAAAGGCACAGTCCATCATTTGCAGCTATCTAACAAGTAACTAACGTAATTATTGTTGAAAATCATTCTTGGTTTAAAGATAGTAATGGGACTGAACTCCCTGTGAATTATTCTTACCGGCAAGCTGTCATTTTGAAGACATCAAATGAAAGGCTTTTCAAACGATGCGTCTAAAGACTTTTTTCTGTTATGTTTTAAATCAAATCCTCCTTTTAATTTAACACATGTTTTCTCATGTTTAGTAGATTTCATTTTTTCCTCAATGATCCGTTGCAGTATTACTCAAGAAAATATTCATAATGAAGAAAGTTTGTTGAGAAACATTCGGTTGAAAGTCTGGTTCCAAGAGCCAAAGATTCTGACATGAAATAATTATGGCAATCGTGTATCTACAGCCAATATGGGCCAGGTATGGGAACAAAATCCACTTTCAAATTATTTGACCTACCAAACTAGTTGGTGACATTGAGAATGCAGTTATGTCATAGATAGAGGACAGGGTTTTGAATTTTTGAGGGAATTTTTTTTTTGTGTGTGGGGGGGGTAGAAATATGGCGATCGTGTAGTGTAGGGCCCCTGTTTTGTTTTGATCAAATAAAAGTCAAAAATGTACTTTATTGCTCAAAAATCAAATTATTGCAAATACAATCAAAAGCAGGCTTTTCTCATTTCTAATGACACCCGTTTTGCAATTTTGAACAGTTTCTTCGGGTAGAAATCCAGATTTTCCTGCGCGGTTTGTGCCTTGCGATTCAGCGTACCGTGCCTGCTCACGGTACATCGCGCGGTGATCGCCATCTTTATTTCATGTATTTTCGGGTCGCGTGTTTTCGCCGCGCTGTCATTGTCATACCCCCAAATTTCCTCCAAAAATCAAAACCCTGCCCTCTAATCTATTACTCCTAGAACTATGAGGCTCCGCGTGAGCGGAGCCTCATGAGTACTATATCTATATGACATACGGTCATACCTGTTTATTGAGAATGTCGCCAACTAGTTTGGTAGGTCCAATAATTTTAAAGTGGATTTTGTTGCCTTATACTAACCGGGCCCTACACTACACGATCGCCATAATTATTGTCAGGTCCGGGAGCCAGACGGTCGACTTCCGTAACGATAGCCACATCGAAAAAAAAAATCAAATGGCGCCACCCATTTTTCTCTCGAAACTGGTGCAGCGTGCGTCTTTATTGAACAATTCAACGTTTACACAATGGAAAGTACCACGAAATCTTACCACGGTTACAGCTTCCATTTCAAGGCTGAATACATTCAAAGTGCGAGCTCTGTATGCTCATGCGATAGTTTTGTCAATTTACATTTCCTGAACTTGAACTTTCCAAGTGCAGAAAAACATGATATTATTATTGACTCTGCATATTCTTCTTGAAAAGAGCGCGTTTGAGACATCAAGAGAGGGCGCACTTCTTCTCACTGCACTGCGTGGAATGTTTCCGCCTAGGCCTATCCTGTCGGCTGTGTCGAGCTTCGCCCATAGACTAGACGTAGACACGGGTCATGCCCATACTTCAAAATTCGTTTACAAATACTCAAACGTCTCACAGGTGTTTATGCCGCACAGAAAAATGATGATCAGCATGTCTTCTTTCATTTTTTTTTCAATTTTTGGTGGGTTGACCATTGACTTTTCCGCGAGAAATTCTCACCCAAAGAAGACGACCCTAGGCCCTTTGTGGGCGAGTGAGCCGGGTTTTCCAAAGTGGAAAAACGCGGATCCCTCCACAACGTGGCTAATTTCGGGCCCAATTCAATTGCATCCAAAATGCTCAGCCAGAGGTGCATCGCCGTATCTCTTCAATTGCCCAATTCAGTTGCTCTCATAACTCTAATAAAGAATAATTTGAGTGCATGAGTTGTATTCATGAGCTCGGCCCCAGACTTTTGACCAAAGCATGACCAACGTTACACGGTTGTACCCATAACGGCTTGGCCCGAGCGCATCGCTCGAATCGTTCACTACCAGCTTTCACAAAATTTGAAAGGAAACGAGGATATCTGCAATATAATTTTTTTTTTTTAAACACCCACTTACCCCTTGCGCCCCGGAAGAATTTAAGGAAGGCAATTTAATTATTGAAATGAGCGTTTTCAAATTAAAATACGCATCAACCACCCTATCCTCTTTGCCACTGCGAATTTGACTCGGTAATGCCGCATTAATTAGCCTTTCGCCAAGGCCATCGTGGCTTAACCTGCTGGCATCAGGCAAAGCGGCGAACATTTTTACAGACACAACAATTTAGAAAATAAGAAACTTCTTCCACTAAAAAATCTTTTAATTTGAAAGGCCAACGATTGTGCCTAACAAATAAGGAATGAAAAGCATGGTAATACGTCATAATTATGCGCACTGACACTCGATAATGTGAATGCGTCAACCGTCAAAAGATGCAACACACTTAATAAATATTCATAATAATAATAGAGAACATTTATATAGCGCCAAAATCCGTCTAAAAAAGACGCTCAAGGCCGTTTACAAGTTTAAAAAATATACTTATACAATAGCATTATATATAAAAGAAAAAAGAAAATTAACTGTAACGTTAAAATGTTTGAAAAAGTCGATACAAGGAATAAAAATGTCAAAGATAAAAATAGTAAAATAGAAAAACTTAATAAACGCACAATCCAAAAAATATAAAAGTATCCAAAAAAATACACACATTATATACACATACAAATATTATGCACATACAAATTACCAACCCATAGAGACATTGACCGAAAGAATTGAAAATATATCAGGACAAGCAAAATGCTAGTGATGAAACCAAATACATATGACAGATATTACTTAGGAAAAAATATATATGCACCCCCTTTTTAAAAACAAAGAAAAATGCAATTTTTACAGTAAGGAATCATATGGGAAGAAACAAATCATATACATCTAAAGCATCTAAAAAAAATACAAAATACATAAACATATATAAGCATTATACAAACACACATAAAATTGATATATTGTATAAAATATACAATTTGCCAATAAAAACAACTGGACACATCGAACGAATAAAATGATCATAACAGACAAGCAGATTTAGTCTGATCCCCAAAACAATGACAATTCTAATGTGACAAGTATTACTTAGCAAATAAATTAGACTTAATTTAATAAGAATGCTACAAATGAAGTCTTGAATGCACCAAAACAAAATAGAATTCCCCGAAACGGAAACGAACGCTAGTAGCAAAATCTTGGGTGACTAAAACTTGAAAATGAATGCCTCAACAATAAAAAGGAAACCAAAATGTTCGTTCAGATGTGTAAATATAGGGCGGAATTGAGCGGCTGAAAATAAAAATGATCAGCGGGAAAGGAATTACAAATTATTGTTTGCCTTATTCGCGGAAAATACCTCAGAACTTTCTGCAATGCTTCATGTGCGCAGGTATTCCTGATCCATTTCATATACATAACTCATTCGGTCTTCAAACCTTCAAACCTGCATCAATAGTAATGAGCCAAGCGGCTAATTTCGCCACTGTAATCTTTTGATTCAGTCCCACTCAAGAATTCAATTTCGTACATGCGTAAAAAACAAGAACAAATGTTCGAAATTGTGCATTGTCACCATGTGTTTTAGTGGGAAAACAGTCTGCAATAAGCCAGTTCGGTATTCCAACTGCGCAGGTGCACATCAAGATTTGCCGATTTTTCTTTAGGGATGAATTTCATCGTATGCGTGCAAAAGCACAGCGGGGTACCAGCAAAATTGAAGAGGTCATCGTATTCTGAAATATAACATTTTGCAAACAATCTTTGCAAAGCAAAGCGTTTTAGGCGTCTTGTGTGTCAAAACTTTTGTGCGAACGAAAGTTCCATCTCTTTTCGACTGCACGACTTATAATGCAGATTTGGTTACCACGTCCCCCATAGCCTTGTGTGCATTTATCTGCCGCTGTTATCCCGAAAAAAGTTAATCGAATCTTGCTGTGCACCAGACTATTTTGGAATACCGAGCTGGCTTATTACAGCTTTTTTACGAATGCTTAAATAATCAGGAAATATTTTTTCAAACGCGTCTAAAAAGTAGTTTCACGAAATATGAAAAATGCGCCTAAAAAGTAGTCTTACCCTGAAAGTTACCATCTGCTTAAAATGTAATAAGTTCAGAAAGTTAATTATTATATTGCTCACGGGCAACCAACTCGTCACTGCTTGCATTGACCAACCACATATTGGAGCTTTTGAATTTTTTCACTTTTTCATCGTGTCCATGGATACTTGCGGCGTGCATCACAACAGCAGAGTAGCTGGCGTTCTTCGCTAAGTACTCGTAAAACGTAGGCCCTGATATTATGGGAATAGTTTAATATCGAGTGGTTGAATGTTGACATGCACGGGTTTATCAGCATGCAAGAGTCTGTTCATCTCGATCTGATCCATGATATTCTTCCCTTTCAGAGACCGAATCCACTCTTTAACAAACGGGAGTGTCACGTTGGTTGGCTTCATGTAAATAAAACCGGCGCAGTAATGTGCTTTTGATGTGCGAGTTGGATAAGGTGATCTGGGGTCCATCATAGACATATCGAAGTCTCCCTGGAAGTACGGAAATGGATCTCGGAACCAAAAGGTGTCAGAATCCGTGAAAAGAACCTCAATGCCTAGTTCCAACAGACTCAAAAAATACCCCTGGCGTTTCTTCAGTAGGTCAAAATAGTTTCGGGCATCTTTGCGCTTCACTTCGCCACTCTGCACGAGACCAGATTTGGTCATCACTACATGCACCGCTGGGTCCCCTTCAGTTTTTTTGTGCAGATATTGGTATACTTTCTCATCCTCAGCGATGATAGTTGTATTGACACAGATGCCGACTCTACGGATACTTGCCAACATGTTAATGGTCAAGTCCAAGAAGCCTAGGTTGGTTGTTGTCAACATTACCACACCGGGTCGCTGCAGGATGTCTTGAAGTGTGCAATTCGACAATTGTCCACGCTCAGTACTTGCAAACGGGACACTGGTTGCCTTGCTATACATATTGCCCGTAGCTTGGTTTATCATTGTAGTCTTAAAAATAACACATGAATTGCACTTGCTGGACCAATCTGAAAAAAAGAAAGAGTTTCAATATTTAAAGTGAAAGCATTTCCAACATGTTTCGCTGAACCCTCCACGAATTTCAAATTGCGAAACACTTTAAAAAATATTTTATGTACTGGTATACTGCATGTCATGTTCTCAAAAACGGGAATGTTGTCATCCGGTACAATCCAAAGAAAAAGAAGAAGGATCAGGAGCGAAGTTTGAAATTCATTTCTATTTGTATCAAAGGGCCTTCTTGCAACAACAACAAAAACCAAGAAGGGAAAGTACAGCATGGAGATGTAACCCACTTTCAAATTCTAACTCCATTCAAGATCAAACAATAACATGTTAACAAAATAATAAGTCTATTTTTGGCCTTGTTGTTGTTTTGCTCCCTCTGCTACCATCTCCCGTGGTCTATGAAACAGCCATCTTTTATCCATGGGCGTCGCCAGGATTTTTTCTAGAGGGGGGCAAAAAAAATTTGCCAAAAAATGCTTGTATTTCTCAACACATTCTCGATTTATCAGTTTAAGAGGGTGGGGGGGGGGCAGGGACATTTTGCCCCCCCCCCACTCATTCAATTTACACCACTTTGTCTTGGCGCCTCTGTTTTTTTTTCTTTTTTTTTTCTTTCTGTTTCTTCTTCTTTTTTTTTGTTGCTTTTCCGGGGGGGGGGCAAGTGCCCCCCTTGCCCCCCCCCCCCCTCCCCTTGCGACGCCCATGCTTTTATCTACCACGTTGGGGACACTGGACATTTGTTAGCAATAAATTATGACTGTATTGATAAAAAAATAATCAAACGCGCTCGCTCGCTTCTGGCAAGGTCAAGCGCGCACCCGGTTTGTCAACAGTGTATATAGGCCTATAATGCGGAAATGGGTCTTTGTTGGCCTCGTTGTTGTTTTTCTCTCTCCGGCCGCAAGCATTTCCCGTGATCTATGCAACAATTATCTTTTATCTACCGCATGCAGGTGCACTGAACAATTCCTGGGTTAATTTTACCCAAGCAAGGGTGAAAACTTCAACTACCCAAAATTGGGTTGTCCTTTTCACCATTGTTTGGGTTAGAATTTCTGTTAAACTCAACCAAACTTGCTGTCTTACCAGACTAAATTTAATTCGGTCTTGTATAATCAAAAGTTGTGCTTGAATTTAACGGGAATTCCAACCCAAAACAATTATTGCAGTTTTCACCCTTTGCTGGGTAATATCAACCCAGGCAATTTTTCAGTGTGTAAAACGGGAATGTTTTCATCCGGCACAGTCCAAAGAAAAAAAAGACGAATCAGGATGCAAGTTTGTTTTTGAAATTTATATCTTTTTGTATCATAGGCCCTTCTTGCAAGAAAAAAAAACAAGAAGGGAAATTATAGCATGCAG